GGGGTTGTCCGATGAGGAGGATTCTTCAGCCCTAGTGTAGGCCGATGAAGGGCAGTTATTGCCTAAGTCTTGTGTTATAAAACTGTGGTATTTCACAAATGTTGTTTGAATAGTTTTAAACTGTTTTATATTGGAAAGGGTATTTTTGTATATTTCAAAAGAGATTTTTGAACTAAGAAAATATACTAATGTTTTCTTTTATGTGATAATCGGGTCCTGGTTATGCACTTAAGGTAATTGTTATGTGATTACTTGATAATGTGATCATGTGAATAACTGATTAATTGATATAATTGATCATGTGAATACATGGTTACATGTAAAACTCACACCCAAGAACCTTCAGTGAATGTCGAAGACTGAAACTGAAGATTAGTGACTGACGTGTTCGTGATCTGAAGCGGTATTTAGTGATTACAGCCTGGTCAACATACATGTGAAGACGACACAAGCCTCAGTGAATGCTGAAGAGACCTCCAACTTTATTCCAGCATTTTAGCGATCAGATGAAGCTTGTCATGCACGATCGTTTTTGTCTTGTCCTTCTACACACACAGGACAAACCCATACCCTTTCAAGAGTATAGTATTGCACGGAGCCGACTAGTCGACTCTAGCGCCCACCAACTCCATGAAAGGATGTCTGCTCATAAATAGACAATAGTACTATTCACTGTTGCAAAGGACAGGCTTTCCTCTAAAAGCTTGACGCGTGTTCTAACCCTTTTGAATTGCATGTAATGCAGTGGGTATAAATAGTTGAGTGCTCTTCTCATGCACTACTACTATAATACACTACAACAGAACACATACGCTTATCTTCAAGCAAGTTAGAACTTCTCTCTAATTCTAAAGTTCTTATCCAAGAAAAACACCTTTCTGTCTTTATCTTATTTGGCAAATTTCTTATATTTGCTAAGAGTATTTGTGTGTAATCCTAGATTGTTTTAGATAGGTTCTCTTTACCCTTTTCTATTTCTGCAAACAATCTGTAAAATTATGTATTGATCTTTCTATATCAATATATATATTTTTAAAAGTGAAAGTTTATGTGTTTGTATTCATCCCCCCACATTCTACAAACTATTCACCTCTAAACTCTTGTAGATCCGACCGGACCAACAAACTACCATCATCAAAATCATTTATCGGTTCAAAAACCTCAGTTGGTTGATTTTGATAGTGTTGCTTTGCTATTGGCATCTTCGACAAATGAACAAAATTATCAGGTTCATTCATGACGACAACACCATGTTCATTGATTCCAACAACATTGTAGGTATGGGCGCCATTACAACCAGGAAAAAAACTACCGGTTTGATTAATTCTGACACTAAAATATGGATTTCCACCACTACCGTCGAGGAAGAAACTGTTTGGTTGATTTATTCCGATAGGAAAATATTGATTTCCTCCATTACCACCAGGGAAGAAATAACGTGATTGATTGATTTCGATAGAACCGTAGGGATTTCCACCACCACCACCACCGGGGTAAAAAGTTTTGTTTGATTGATTTAGAAAGACCTTATGGGTTTACACCACTATCGCTGGGGAAAAACATACTTGGTTGATGGAGTACGACACTTGATGGATCTCCACCATCACCACCATCGTCGACAACAAAGAGTGTGTGTTGGTCCAAAACAGATCTACAAGAGTTTTAAAGGTAACAATTTGTAGAAGGAATGGATGAATACAAACATACGATTTTCACTTTTCAAATTCGTTTATTGATAAAAGAAGATCAATATGGAATTTACAGATTGTTGTGAAAGAGGATAAGATTAAGACCTAATTTAAACAATCTTAGAGACAAATGAATTATACTAAAGATAAGAACAAGAGAAAAGATAGTTACAATGAAAAGAAGGTGCTTGCTGAGAAGAGAGTCTTTTCAGCTATTTATACCCATTGCATTTAATGCAAGTCAGAAGGTACGAGCCACGTGGCAAAATTCTAGTGGAGATGTTGTTCTTTGTCTTCAAGTATGCAGGCTTTTGGCAGTATACGAACAGTTGACTTTTACAAAGTTGGTAAGCATGTTCGGAGACAATAAAATAACTCCGTACCTGTACTTTTCTGTGTGAGGTATGAGGTTGTCCTTTTTGTGCAAGAGGATAAAACAAACTAATCTTGTAGAGCAAGATTCATTTGATCGCTGGCACTGATTCATCACTAACGATTCTTCAATGTTTGCCGAGTCTTGGTCATATTTCACACTTCGATTTATACACTCTTGTTATCACTAGATCCACTTCATATCACAACAGTTGTCTCTATCTTCAGCTACTTCTTTGACATTGTTGAAGGTCCCTTTGGTGTGAGTTTTGTCTTTGAGAAATATTTGTTCTTTGAGAAGTTTATAATACATGTTCAGCGATAACTTGAACAGACTCAGAAATAACCGTTGAAACTGAACAGAAGTTGAACAAGCATATTTTACTAAGTATAGAGGGTCATCATCAAATCACTGAGAGAGTTTGGATCAACAATGTCAAAATTTGCAATAAATTTTCATGAACGACGTTTTGGAACATCACCACATCGTCGTCATCACCTATCTCATTAACTCACAACTCAAAGTATTTTTATAGAATAACCTAAAACGACTACGTAAACTTAATTTTTTCGCAATGCACTTAACCAAACCAAAATGTGTTATTGACGAAGGCAAATGTAATATACATTTGCTAACTCCTAACGACATATACTCTATAACACCATTTATCGTCTGTAACGAACAACCACTTTGAACATACACGGAACCGCTATCACTTTGATGCGATTTCATATCTGTGTTAAGGGTTGTGATGGTTGATTGTGTTTAAGGGTTATGAGAGTAGAAGTGTTTAGATTATTACATTTTCATGTTTGGATTACTACAATTATATATGCTACATTTGATCCTAAAATGACAAAATACCAATGAAAATCACCTCTATATCTAGACGTCGTCATTGAGTTGTCAAATCAACCAAAAAGTTGCATCATAAAATGTTTCCACTACATGACTAAATAAGACTGAAAATCGCCCATAGGAGCGATTTTGATTATACAAGGCAATTTTCATAATTTTTTTTGGAGAAAATTAGATTTTTGTCCCCCCCTAAATGGTATACATGAGGGACTCATCCGTACCTCAAAATGGGGAAATCACCTCCAATAAAGCAAATCTCCCTCCAAAAACGATTTCAGTGGTCATTTTGTGAGAACTGTCTGAAAAGTGATCATTTTATTAATATATTATGTATAAAATAGTTATTTTAGACAATTTTCTTTATTTAAAAAATTAAATTTAGTCTTTTGTGGTAATCAATTTGCGTATATTTGTTTAGTTGTTAATTTTAGAACTTCGTATGATCAAATTGTGACATGCGAGCCGACTTGGACCTACACAATTATAAGAAATTTTTTTTTCTTTCTAAATACATGTTTAAACTAAACACTTAAATACACTTTTTTTTTCCTTTCTAAATTAAACCCTTATGTTTTTTATTAGGCACAAGGTTTACATGATTAACCAGGAAGGTCGTGTTTAAGAGTGTAATAATGTCAATTATGAAAAATGTCCTCTAAATTTTTTGGATTTAATTATACATGTTCTAACTTTTAACCCTATTAACTCAATTATAAATGTTTTAAATTTAAAAATATACATATAATTTGTTTTAGTTTTAAGAATCAAACAGTATTTTTGAATAAATATAATAATACAGGTTTTTTTTTTTTTTTTTTCTGTACAAGGCTTTAGGTTCAATGATTATATTGTATTTAAATATGTCTATCAATCGATTATTAGCTATCCTTATGAAGTTCAACAAATACTTTAAGAAATTGCACGTCTCACATATGTAATAATTACTTGTAAAATTAAGATCTAAGGTATAACGTATTGACAAACAATATCTAATGCTTAACAAGTTGTTTTCAGGATTTTTATTAAAAATATTTTATATGTAGTATAGATATCGAATATTTTCAATATATTATCCACTAAATACTGTACATATTTTAACTATATATATATATATGTGTGTGTGTGTGTGTGTATGTATGTATGTATGTGTATCTATACTGTATTTTAAAGCATTTGACGAAAACTTTTAAAACCATTTTTTATGAATGAAATAATGTTTATTGATATATATTACTTAAAACTCAAAACTACAAGTAATTTTGCGTAATTACAACTTATTAAAGCTCAATTTTTAAATCGTGTAACTAACTGCAGATAAACATGATCAAATACAGGATAAACATTCATTTTAAACATATAAAATCTAAAATATAATTAAGATAACCATTGACTTCAAACAAAATGTTTAATTATTATCTTAAATAAATGTATTATTAAACCAAAAATAAAAAAATGAATTAAAGAAATACACAAAAAAAAAAAAAAATTAAATAGTTAATTTGATACTAATATTAATATTTTTTTTTTCAATTTTTATGACATCTTCATATTTATATTTTATTCAAAAATAAAAATATTTTCGCTTTCTCAAAACCAAATAAAACCTCATTATAACATTAACTGAGACAAAAAAAACCCATTAAAATCGAGATATAGCTTGCTGCATTGTATGAATAGCCTTATAATATAATAATATACATAATATTTGGTGAATAATACGATATAATCAAAGTCAAAATGATATATTCTTATTATCGGTAAATTGTTTGTAATAAATTAATGGATAAATTAAAAGAAAAATCACCTTTTGATTGTGTTTTTCTTGTTCTATATAGAAATTATACGATGTCGACTCAAGGGTTACATGGTGTTTTAATAAAGTAAAAGGACCTAAATAGGATAATATAAAAAGTACAAGGGTGTAATTGACACTTTTCAGCGGATAAAAGTCGGAAGGCAGTTCTTGGCTAACTGCAGGACAAAAAGACAAAACTCTTGCAACCTGGCGCACTTTAGCAACCGTATCCCTACTAAATAAAGTACGTCCCCCCCCCCCCCTCTCCTTCCCCGTTTCCCTCTGCCATCCTTTCCCTCACTTTGAAGTTTCTCAGTTTCTCTTTCTTCTCTCTCAGCATCACACACAGTGATTACCTGCACAAACACACAGCACGAAACTTTGTTGAGGTCTTTGGGAGTTTTACCGAAGAAAAGGGGGCGAATGTGCACGGAAGTGGAACAATGGCGGCGTCATCACCTTCTCTGCAGGCCAACCTCTATGTCTCATCTTCTAAGGTAAACATTCTCAATTTGTGTGCGTCTCTGATACGTCTTTGTATCATGTTTTGAATTCGTTGCAGATTATATCATTTGTTGCTTGTTGAGCGATGAGCAATACCAATTCTTTATGTGCTAATCGATTGATTGGTTTGCTTTATTTATTTTGGTTATTGAAGTATTTACTTCGTAGAATATGCCAATGGTAAGAGTTAATTGTATTGTGTTTAATGGTTTAGGGATTTTTCATTAATGTTTTAGATTATTGAACTGGTATGTTATGACTTCTAATTTATTCGCTAATGTTTTGATATCATTGAGTTAAAAGGTCTTCTATCTAGGGGGCTGCTTGAATATATCTGTTTGTGAGAACCTGATTAAGATACTTGAGCCTAAACAAGAACAAGTACCGCTGAAATGGGTTTCTGGTGCATATGGTCATGCTTTTAGGATAGCATTTTGATTAATGCGTCTGTTTTGAGATTCTACTGCAGAGTGCATGTGTGCCTCCTGTAATCTCTAGTGCAAGCAATCCTGAACAAGCCATGTGACATGAACATGTGCTTCATCTCAAGAATATAAAAGAAGTTAGTTTTATCCTTGAACTTGCTTGTTGCTGTTTCTAGTCCTGAAAACTATAAAGTGTAATCGAATATGTCACTGTAGCAAGTTACATGTCTATCAAAAAGTTGATGTATAAAAGTATGTGCAAATTTTACCACATCCTTAGGGTGATTGTAGACAATCTAACTCTGTATTCCCTTGGTTCGTAAAGATGAGCTCACATCTGACTTTTGTGCGTCAAATAGATTGCCTTTGAAATTCAAAATTGATAAGAAATTTCTATGATATATGAAAATAAAAATTGGTTGTTACATTAAGATATACGTGAATGTATTACAATAGATACATTTCAAAGCTAATATATGCATTGTATATATAATACTACCTGGTAGGAATTTCAAAACCAAAGGTGGATTCTAGTTAGGACACAAGGAAGTAAATATTGTATGGAAAGGAATAGTGAATATAAAAATTAAAGGAAAGGAAAGCCAGAAAGAGAAAAATGGAAAAAGAAACAAATGAGAAAATATGAGAGCATTTATTATATGAAAAATCATGGAAAATAGGCAATTAAAGTAAAACAAAGGGAGAATGAAACGAAAATAGAAGAAAAGAATAATAATCCAAGGAATCAAACCCTGTAAGTTTCAGATCTTAGTTATGTGTTTTATCATCCAAGTTAGATTCCCTTTTAGCAGAGGATTCAGTTGGTTTGCTATTTTAAGAAGAAACAGAGGAGCACTTTCGGTTTTATAAACCTACCCCAATACTATCTAGAAACTCATGAATGAGGCAGTGTGACTTGGTCCCCTGGGATCTTTCTTAGCTCCCCGATGGGTGTGTCACTTCAACTTTTACAACGATTTGTTGGCCTTATTGCAGATAAAGGATGTGAACGGAATGTAACCCTAGTACTAAGAGGCTGCTTCTAGTTGAACATAAATGCTATTATTTGGATGGTTACATTTAGTTTGAGTGAAGTATTATGATATTTTATAAGCAGTGCTAAGCATCTATGAACTTGGTGGTCTCTCCTATGAACTAAAATAGCTAATAGGAAGGTCAGGTAATGGATGCAATGTCCTGCAAAAAAAACCTTTCTGTGTTCGAATTTCAGCTCTGTGCTTTTCTATATTCTGAGCCCCATATGCCTCCTTGATTAGTTAAGAAAGTATGTATTTTCTATATTCTGAACCACATACTTAAGACTTCATACGATAATATGTCAGGGGTAAGGAACCTTTTGTCACTTCATGCCACCAAAGCACTTATATGCTTCGACATGGCAACCATTGTTGCGCAAGCAATGCCCACACACACTCATATGCAGTAGGATACACACTTACTGGCAGGGGTGTTCCAATATTTTTGGAGTTACGCATGTACTAAAGTATGAATCGACTGGATGAGTATTTAATACAACAAAATATAAAAGTTCAGCCATATACTATTACTATATTAAAAGTCTTACAAATTAAAACAACAACAAATGTCTTAAAATGACAAAGTCACATATGAAATTCACTTGAATAGAATCATTCTTTGAAAGCTAGAACTAGGAATCGCCAAATTGGCTGAAAAAGGTAAAAGCATAAAACATTATAATTAGACCAAAGGTTAAAACATATATGATTACCTAAGTCTAAAATATATATAACTGATTTTTGGGGGCCGTGTTCCATATCTCACATTGGAAGACCTTCATGCAACGGCTCTACTTACTGGAATGAACACATACATATGATACATACATCCATACAGGCAAGCAGCTTTCAGTTGTCACTTTTTCATAAAGACTGGAAACCACACCCAAGGAGGTGAAAATTTTGCATCATGCCCATTGATGCATTAACGGTTATTTACCGGGTAACACACAATGGTGGGATTCCGAACTCAGGATCTTTATGCTGTCCTGAGGAGTCCCAACCACTTGGACAAACCCTACTGGCCTTCAGCTGTCTCTTTTTGAGGACCAATCTTCCTTGTATCCTTTCCAGATTTTGTCGCTACACTGAACCTATGGTCATGTCCTGTAGAAAGACATGCTACCCCATGTAGGGCACCATCTTTGTCGTTTCAGTAGAGAATTCATTGGTTACCTTATTCTAGTTGTATCTTTATTTATTTATTTCACAGTATATGTGAAAACGGAATAGTGATTGGTAGTGACTTCCCCCCTGGGCTTCTAGGGCTGATGCGTCTTGGCTAGGCATTGGGATTCTTTTTTAGGTTAATGTATTTCCTCATGTGATCTTTACTATTTATGGAACATTGACCTACGTATTGTGTTGATTCAATTAAAATAAGGCAATACATGAGATCCTGTTTGTACAACCCATGATGAAAGAGTACTTAATTTATGGGGTTATAACATTTTTATAAGTTGTTGCTAGTATCTTAAGACCCTATTGTTACTTAGTCTTGTTGGATTATTATAACCCCAAGCCCACTATGAATAGATACATTGGGTTGAATTTCCAATTAATCTCCCAAGTATTTGTAAACACAACTACAATCCATCCTAAGATTGACAAAGACCATTGATGACCTTCATCCTTGAGATAAAGAGAATGTGACTTTGGAAAGGCTACCACTTCAAGGTGTTTCATGTAAGCATTCCAAACACATACATAATATTATTATATTCTTACTCAGTGATAAGCTGGATAAAATTATATTGTCATCCAAGTTTGTTATGAAAATATTTGTGCTTCTTCATGGAATAGAATACTGACGCAGGCAAGAAGGAAAAAGGATAAAACAAGTAAGCACAGTGAAACATAGGAGAGAGTACGTGAAACAAAACAAAGTAGAAGCAAAGAAAAGGATTAGAGATGTTGTTTCTTTACATGAGATAACGTAGTTCTATATATACATGATATTAATATAGTTTGCTTCATTTTGTGCAGTATATTATGTTAGGATCCAAACATGATTAGTTTGTCATGAGTTACATATTTGATATATTAAGTTTAGTACTAGAATTTGTGTGACTTATGGTTAAAACTAATAACTAGTCCAATGAAAAGTTATTGGTTTAAGCAATTGAAAGAGTGTTGTCACATTATGTTACATTTAACTTAGGATGATTTTGAACTTACCTAAAGGAAAATAGAACTTTGTGATTTATAAATGGAACTTTTGCCCAAGTGCCATGTTTATTCTGTTCCTGCTAATAATGATGTTTGACTTGATGGTTTTGTATTATTCTTATAGAGGTTTAATTAGCATAGTATTGATTGAACCAAGAAAGATTGATTACTATACACAAAATTGTCATTAAAATCTTACTATTATTGGATGTTGTAAATAGATTTTGATACAACAAACTTTTTGCCCTATTGTTGGATCTTATTGCGATCAGTTAGTATTGATTGTGGATTTCTTTTAGTCCTTCTCTAGCACATTTTCAAGTATAATTATGTTTTGACATTAACTCATGCCACTATTTTTGGCCATTTGTCTGTATTTGAAGTCTTGAATCCAACTAAACTTCTTGATGGAATTATGAAAAGAGAGTGAAAATAGTTTCGGCAGTGTGGACTTGGACTAGGCATTGCATTCATGTCCTAATATACTTATGTCACAAGCTCCATTGAGCAAAAGGTTAACTACAAATAGTAGAGCTATGTAACTGCACATCCCTTGTAATTAGAACTTCATGTTGATAGCTATTTGAGAATCCATTCCTGACTCTCAGAAGGTAAAATAGTTTCTAATTTGAGTTGAAGACCAATTTTACGGTTCATCTAGAAGTCATGTACCCTTACTTGCAACTACTAACGAGTGGGTATAATGTGGTTCTTGGAGTATGTAAGCCTGATGATGATGAATGACATGGCCTCTTAAATAAAGGGAATGCAATTGGAGATATCTTGGTGGTTTTTTGTTCACTAAATGATTATCTTTGTTGGTAGAGAAGGTAGAGAGCGGCCAAGGGGAAGGTTACTAGATTCCTACTTTAGATAGATAGTTGTTTTAGTTTTCTTCTACTTCTCATGTATGCTCGTTTAGTTTTCATTCCCGCCCAGGTAGTTTTAGTTTTACTGCCTTAGGTTTCCTTGTTGGTTTTATTTTTTATCCTTCTCATGTGTCCTTGGTCCTTTTGTTCACTATACCTATTGCTTGTTTGCACATACTTTTCTGCTACTTGCCTTACTTGCCTTACTTGTATCCTTGTATTTTGTTTTTGCAAGCCGGGGATCTTCAGGGAAACAAACCTCTCTACCCCTTGGGATAGAGGCAAGGGTCTGCATACATCCTAGCCGCTCTCCGATCCTACCTCTATGTGGGATGTCACTTGGTTTATTTGAACTGCAATATGTAGAAATAGAGAAAGATGATTAGCGAGTAATCATCATTTGAATCCAAGAACAAAGGCTTAAGGCTGAAAACCTAATGATGCTCATTTGACTAGCAAGTATGTTTTAAGAACAAGGAAAAGTTTCTTCCTAGGAAAATTCAGGCAACTCCAAGGCATGTAATCTTGCTTTCTGTAAGAAACATTGACATATATAAAATGAATGCCATAAGCTTAGAGAATGGCTTGATAAGAAGTGTGTGTAAATTAATTGTGCAGTCAATGATGTCTTGTGGTTATGTTTATTTTCCCTGATGCTTTTATCTAAACGGCATATAGATTTGAAATTGATGTTTGGCTATGTTAAAGAGTGAATGTGCTGAGGTTTCGTACATAGATAGTATTTCGGGCAAGTGGAAGAGAATGTTGGATTACAAGACTTACAAGATGATAATTATGTGACAATAAATAGTATCTTGACTTAGTGCATCAACTGTCTTAAATAAATATATTCAAGTGTTTTAATTGTATCAGTATTGTTGTCCTATTTTTATTGATGATTAGTATGATTCTAAATTACATTAATGTCCAACATTCGGAACTAATAAAATCAGCATAGAAAGAAACTAGACAATATAGTTTCTCAATTTAAGATATTACTGTGACCCATGACTTTGTTATGTTTTATTCTATTTGCAAGTTTTATTATTACTTGTTACACACATTGCACAAGCCGGGGGTCTTCATGGAAACAGCGGCTCTACTCTTTAGGGTAGAGGTCAGGTCTGCATACACCCACCCCCACCC